GGAATTTGGAAGCAGGAAATAAAGAGAAGAAGCTGACCAGGGAGGAAGAGCTGGGGAAAATGTAGGCAGGGAGGGTGACCTCATCTATCTTCATTTCTTTCTTCATTTTTTGCTGCTGACAGTTCAGCCTTGATGTTTCATGACCTCACGGGGACAGTTTGGTCCTGGAGCATATCTGAGCTTTGTTGTACAAACAGCAACTGTCTGTCCAGCCAGCCAGCCAGCCAGCCAGCACCCCACCTTCCAACATCCCCACTGGGTAGCAGAGGAAACGTCCCCTGAATTCCAGGACCTTGCAGAACCCTCAGCAGGTGCCTCCTGGATTTGATTTCCCCGCGATTTCCTACAGAAACATGAATGTAGAGGGTGCTCCTGGGTGCTAGGGAATGGAAGGCACACAGTCTGGCTGAGGGGCATCTGACCTCCATCGCCAGGAAGAAAGCTTTCAAAGTGAGGACAAGACTTCCTCAAAGCCTCTACCAGAGACCACATCACAAAGTCGCATTAAAGCGCTAAGAAGATGACACCCATGCCTGCCACCCATCCATCCTGAGGGACCCATGGAAAACCAGAAGCCCTCCACCCCCAGCACTCTGCCCAGCCCAAGCTCTCCCAGCCTCTGCTTTCCATCCCCAGGAGGAAAGAGAGTGCCCAGGCTGGGCCCAGGCAGCTGGCCCTGGTGCCCGTGAGCAGAGGGGACCCTCCCTGGAGAACTCGAAAATGCCGGTGAGCAAGGCCCAAACACCTCCACCCTGAGTCTTTCTCCAGCCTTAAAGCAAATCATCTTTTAATCCTGAAACACCAAATATTTAATTTATGCTCTACCTCAAATGTCAAGCCCACCTCCCAGCACATAGCTCTGAAACCACGTAAAGAAGCCTAACACTTTCCATATGGAAAAGACATGGGACCTTTTAATTGTGCCAACTGGTATCATTCAAGGGTAATTCCCCTGGAATCCGGCACTCAGGCAGCAGCTGGGCCAGCCTCCAATCTCATCACTCAACCTCACACGTGCTCATGGGCTCCAGCGGAGCCTGCACCCTCCTCATCTCCTCCAAACATCAAAATGCACCAAAATAAATGCCCAAATACAAAATGCACAAATATCAAAATGCACTTGACTGGTGCCTCCAGTCAAATTACCAAACCACCTGCAGCCGCCTTTGATCCAGAGGCGGGCTTGCCCGCAGCACCGCTCTCAGCCCGTTTCTTCAGGCAGCTCTGCTATAAAAGAAAGAAAGGGCCAGCCCAGGGCGTGGGGAGGAGACTGTTTGAAATCTGGTTGTATGCACTCACAATCGGCCTATACAGAGGCACACAGGCCTTCACCAAGTGCTTGCTACCTGACACCTGAGTCCACTGCACTATTCAGTCAATCTATTAAGCTTTTTCACTCGTCCATTCTATTTTCCATACCCAGTGTTTCCAATTGGTTTTCTTCTGTAACTGCCTGTTGCTGCTTCCCATTTCCAGCATCCTCCATTATCTCTCTGAGATTACTATGCTTATTCTGCTTTCTAATTCTGTTCAGCACAGTGTTCTTTGGCGTATGTGCTGCTCAGTTTATGGCTCCTCTTCCACAGCACTCATGCGCCTCCCATTTCTCATTCCTTTTCTCCTATGAGCCCATATTCCCTTGGACTTGCTCATGTCCCCAAGGAAAGGGCAAACGCCCAGCCCTTAGCCTGTGTCCCTCCAAGTGAGCCTGTCATGAGAGCGGGAGAGGCAGAGAGCCTCTGGTTCCCTGATCCTGGCACTGTAGCTCCCTGTTTGTGGGCCCCCATCTCCATCCCTACAAATGTCTTCAGTGACTCCTCCGGTAGGTTCCCTTCCTTCCCAGATTCAAGTTATAATCCCATCATAACCCGCCAGGGATGAAAATATCATTACACCCATTTTGTAGATGAGCTAATCAAGGTATACAAAAGTAAAATGGTTTGCACAGGTGACAAATAACTAGGACAGCGCCTCATTTATTTCTGTAATTTGGAGGGCAGGCTTAGTTTAATGCCAGCATGGCCACCCTCTCACATCTCAGGACCCTGCATGCAATTTGGACCCATCTGGGACATTTCCCAAGTTCCTCAGACCCCATCAGGAAGGAGGAGGACAAACGTGGGTCACTCTTGCTTCTGCCTGCCCCACAACTGGCTCATCTCAAAGCACTCCCTCTCCGGGAGTTTTGAATGCAGCACCCTCCAGGTGGACGCCCTAGCACAGGGTTTCTCTACGCATGACTTCTCCGAGAAAGTGCACCAGAAAGGGAGAAAAACACAGTCCACACCAGCAGGCTGTCAACACTACAAGGTTATGGGAAGGATTAAGATAATGTGTGCAAAGTGCTTGACACATATACACACTTAATAAATACTAGTTATCGCTGCAGTAACAATACTACTAGTTGGATGAGCCACTGTGTCTCCAGTCAGTTACGTGACAGGTAAAGGACTGGAGGCAGAGACTAGGCCCAAAATGGACGTGGGGCTGGTGGCAGGACCTCTGCCAGCCCTTGGAAACCAGCAGACTTTGAAGCCCACACCCTCCTACATCCTGATGATATCGTGGAAGAACCTACCAGCCCCCTTTGGCACCAGAGGGAATAGGGGAAATGAACTGAGGGCTGCCCATTGCTGTCCCGTTCAATATCTCAGTGCTTCCCAAACGTTGGGCACTCCGTTCCCACATTCACAATTTTGATGACTTGTACTTAATATTTTTCTCTGAATTGACTTCACATTAGACTCTCTTTTAACTTAGCTCCATCCGAAGCAATAATATCTGCAAAACCATGGGTTTGATGTCCTAGTCATCTTTTTCTGGTTAAAAAAAATAGGTAGCTATTAAGATTTAAAATATTCCTCCAGGTACCACCTGAAATCGCCTGGAGGCTGCCCGCAGTGCTGTTCCACACCCTGGGCTCCCCCTGAAGGTCTGACTCAATATCCCTACCTCTGCAGACACACTGGCTAGGCCATCTGGGCCCAAGGCTGGTGAAAACCCAGGCGTCAGCCATCCTGGTCCCCAGCAGCAAGAACAACTCCCAGGGAGACAGAGGCCAGCCCCCTGCTTAACATCTTTGATGGCTGAGGCCCACCCTCCAACCACCTGACACACGCCACGCCAAGGGCTCTAAGCCTCACATCTTCAAAAGTACTTTGAACAAACATTAATGACCCCTCAGCGTTTCTCTGAGAGAGGGAGTGAGGGAGGGAGGGGGACAGGCACCATCCCATGCTGTCCTCAGCTGGGGAAAGAAACCGGGCAACAGAATTCCGTGACTTCACCAAAGCCACACTTAAGCTGGGGCCCCCTCCCCACCCTCCCTCACTTCCCCCAATGGCAACTTTTACTGGCCTGCATTCCTCTCGCTGGGAACACTACTATTTAATTAAAAACGACAGACTTTTGTTTTCCTCTCCCTCTTTCCTCCTCCCTCCCATCCTCCCAGACTGGATGCCAAGGAGACCCACCAAAAACATGCGGGTAACATTTGTTATGGCTTTGAAGATAAAAGTCAATTGAAGTAAGCCCTCGCTGTATTTCAAGTTTTCCCTCTAGCATGGAGCAAGCTGCCTGGCAGTTTAGAAAAAGAAGAAAAAAAAAAAAAAAAAAAAAAGGAGGGACTACAAATAAATGTCATTCTGCAGGAATACTTTGTAAAAATAAACAGGCTGAAAAAACCCAAAACTTGATTAATGGAAATCCACTCAGTTGGCCTCTGTCTGGAGCTGCAAATGCATTTGTTCATGTGGCTAAATTAGATCATTTTCATTGGCTTTTAAATAAATAAGTAGACCAAAAACTAGAAAGAGGGAGGAAGAAGGGGGGTTGTGGTTCTGTTTTTAAAGCGCCCCAACTGCAGTGTCCCCCACCCACCAAGATTTGACCTTTATTAGGGGATAGCAGCTCCAAGTCCAACCCAGCGAACAGAAGACAGAGATGCCCCCAGCTAAGCAGTGGTGGTGGAGGACAGAGGAGCTTCTCCTAGGCCTAGAGGTTACTTGATCCACACAGAGAAACTGACTTTACCCACAGGCCCACCTCCCGACACCAGCACTGCAAGCTAGCTGCCAAGTCCCACCACCCAAATACACACACATCTGAAGTCTCCACTGGCCTCTCCCCAGCCCATGGACAAGACCAAAGAACTAACCAGACCTGAGACTCAGTCTATTCCCCCTCTAAGTTAAAAAAAAAAAAAAAATTAAATGTCACATCAAAAAGTTGATTCATCCTTTGATCCTGGGCTTGCGAGAGTTCCACGCAGACCGCCTGAAAGCCCTGTGCAGCGTTCCGGAGCTCACAGGACATCTGTGAACGCCAAGTCCCAGGCCAGGAGCTGGAGCTGGACTCATTCCCATCACACTTAGTGCTCCTCCAGGAACTCCAGCCTCGGGGACCCATGGGGTGAAGGCTGAGGGCTGTGCCCAGGCTACAGTAGAACGTGGCCCTCTCTGTCATGGGCCAAGTAAGGGGTCTACCACGCCTCAGTCCCCCTCGATCTGCCACCCACAGGGCCGCCTGCTCTACTGGGGTTCCTGGACAGGTGGCACTGATGAATGCCACAGACAATCAGAACATATTCAGATACTGGGGCCAGCACAGCTCTGCCCTCCACCCAGATACCCCTAATGCCCCTGCCCTCCCTAGCTCCTACTCCAGCTCCACCTTTGAATGCTGGTGGCAGAAACAAGGTAGAAGTCAGAGCAGGCCCCCAGATCCCTCCAGCACAGACGGGCTTCCTCATCAACTGGATCTTCACCACCTCCCCACCTAGGACCTTTCCCCCAGGCAGCCCGCTGCCTCCAGCTGGGCACTTCAAGGTTCTCCAAGGCATGAGGGCAGAGGGTTGTGTTGGCAGGGCAGGGGGCAGCTGAGAAGAGATGTTTAGACCCAGAAGCTGTGCAGGAAAGTGCTCAAAGTTGGGATGCATGGGTTTAGAGACCCATCTCTGAGCTGAAAGGAGGCGAGGAGGTGGGGCAGGGTGGGGAGCATACCCGGGTGCCTCGGCCTATGGTGCCTGCCAACCGCAGCTGCCGGGGTCCAGAGACGCCGCCCGGGCAGCGCTGCCTCCCGATCCACTCCTCGATGCCCTTCCGAGCCCAGGCGGCGCTCACGGCGAAGCTGTCACCTGGGGTGGGGACGACATGAAACCCCTGAGTCTGGCTCTGGGAGCCAAAAGTTACCCCCGCGGAGGGAAGACGGAGGCGCGGTGGAAGGCGAAGGGCCAAGGCACGGGGGAGGCAGTTCACGGGCTGGGGCAGGAGCCAAGAGAGGGACGCGGGTAAGTAAAGGGGGGTTCAGCGAAGCTTAGGAGCGAGGAGCCAGAAGAGGGTGAGAGGGGTGAGCAGCAGTGGTTTGGATCCCCAAACCACCCCGGGAGGATGGGTTTGGGGATCAGAACAGGAAGCGCTGGCAGCCAGGACTGCGGAGAGGGCTGGGGGTCAGGAGAGGGGCCGCAGTAGGTGCAGGAGCCAGGATCTCTGGAGAAGACGCCGGGAGGCAGGAAGAGGAGGCAGGGTCTTGCGGGAAGGCGCTCGGGGGGTCAGAAGAGAGGGCGCCGTGAGCACCGAGGGCAGGGGCACAGGAGGGGGAGGGGCTGAGGGTCAGCGGTGGGAGCGCAGGACCGCGGGGAGCGGGTAGGAGGGACAGAGGAGGGGGCGCGAAGGCTGCTCCGGGAGCGGGCTTGCGGGGCAGGTGGCCGGAGACGGGGTTTGGGGGTGTCCCTGGTCATAAGACCTAGTGGGCTGGGCCGTTCGGCCGCGGCCGCGGTGCCCCCCGCGTCCATCCCCGAGATCTGCGTCCCGCGCGCCCCTACCTTCCGGGCTCTCCCTGCGCTTGCACACGGCGGCTGCAGGCACATCGCGCGGCGGCGGCGGCGGCGGGAGCCGGAAAGAAAGGAAGGGAGAGAGTTAGTGACCGCGGCTGCGAGGGCGGCGGGGCCCGGGGCGAGCGCGTGGGCGGTGGCACTGACCCGGCTTGGAGTGAAGTTTCCCCATGCTGGGGCTGCGGCGGCCGGGGGCGTCCCTAAGCCATGCGCCCAGCCCGCCGGCCTGGCGCCTTGCCTGGCTCTCCTTCTCCCCGAGCAGCCCCCGAGCCGAGCGGAGCCCGAGGCGGCGCCGGGACGCGCTCCTGCCGCCGTCGCCGCGGCCCGACTGACGCCCGGGAGCTCGGAGCCCCCAGCCCGCCGCCGCGGCCCGCGCCTCCCCGCGCGCCCATTGGCCGGTGCGGTGCATCAAAGGCGAGGCGGGTTGGGGCGGGGGCGGGGAAAGGGGCGGGGAAGGGGGCGGGGAGGGGCGGGGAAGGGGGCGGGGCGAGGGCGGGAGGGGCCGGACACAGGCAGCGCTCCCCGCCGAGGTCTGGGGCCCCGGGACGGGGTCCCGAGGGCCGCGGCTGGGGACCCCGCGGGGTGGATCCGTCCAGGAGTCTTACTGGGACAGAACACCCCGGCCCTCGCTGACTGTACTGTCACTTCCCTCCTCTCCAGGTTCCCTCTAAAAGGGCAGGGCGGGACTCAGCGACTCCAATTCACAGGTGGGGAAACTGAGGTCGGGAACGGAGACTTGAGCTGCTCCGGTGCAAGCGTCGGCAGCGCTACCTTTTCCCAGCCTTCCCAGGACCACGACTTTCTGCCTTCTGCGGAAAGTGTTCATTACCCGCCCTGTGCCCCGCCCCCCACCCGGCACTTGTCTAGTTTCTTATTTGGGAGTCCAGGAGGAACCCCCAGCGCACCCCAGGCCAGTGTGGGCCCAGCCCTCTCCTGGCGGCGACAAGTGTCCAAAGAGCCCCGTTGTCAGCCAGTCTCTCGGCTCTCCTCGTCTGGGGGCCCGTGGGTGCCCGCCCGGGTCGGGGCGCGCTGCCAAACTGCGCGGCCCGGAAGGGGGTAACCGCTGGGTCTTTGATCTTTCTTGGTTTCCGCTCCCCGCTGCAGTTCGCCAGACCCAAGGGTTTGTTTGTTTTGTCTGAGGAGGTCTCTGCGGGGAGGTCGCGCGGGGGGTCGGGGGGGCGGTCGACATCAAGGGGTTCTACCCTACCTTTGCGGCTCTCAGAACGCCTGCCCCTTCTGGGGACACTGTGGGTCCAGGTTACGATCGTCCCGGTAGCTAGCAGCTCAGGCGTGGGAAAAGAAAACCCGGAGCTCAGAGTGAGGAGACCCCAGCCCCAACTTTTGGAGTGAATTCCCCGAGCAAGGCTCAGTTTTGTGATCTGTAAAATGGAGGCTCCGTTCTGCCCTTTTCGCCCACTCTCTAGAGCAGTACCACCCAACTAAAATATAATTTGGGCCACATTTATAATTTTAAATTTTCTAGGCGCTGCATCTTTTTAAAGTAAAAAACAAAAATAGATGAAATATTGATAATATATTTTGCTTAACTCGATACAGTCAGCCCTCTTTATTCGCAGGTCCCACATCTGCAGCGTCAACCATCTGTGGACTGAAAATACGCAAAAAAAAAAATAATACAGCAAAAATAAAGAATAAAAAACGTTTTAATACAGTATAGCAAGTATTTACATAACATTTACATTGTATTAGGAATTACAAGGAATCTAGAGATGATTTAAAGTATACAGAAGGATGTGTGTAGGTTATATGCAAATACTACTGGACATTTTATATAAGAGACTTGACATCTGGGGATTTTGGTATCCTCTGGGATCCTGGAACCAGTCACCAAAGATACCAAGGGAGCACCGTATATCCAAAATAGTGTAATTTCAAGATAGAATGAGATATTTTACATTCTTTGTTTTGCACTAAGTCTTAAATTAGTCAGTGTGTATTTTACACTTAAATCACATCTCAAAGACTAGCCATATTGCAAGTGATCATTTGCACTTGGCTAGTGGCAACTGCATTAGGCAGCATTGCTCTGGAAGATCTACATGTCTCAAAAGGACATAAGAACTCGCAGCCCCCCAGAGTCATAAATCTCTTCATCCAAGTTCTTACTTTCATCTTCCAAGCTCTCTTTCTTATGCACTCTTTTTGGTAGAAATGAAGGCTAATGTTATAAGCAAGTACATTATAATGCTGTTGGCTCACTTCATTTGAGGAGTGCTGAAACCACAAAAATATACTACGGTTGTCATTTTTATGTTACAGTTCTTCATTTGGTACTTCTGACGCACCAGTCCTCATCCCCCATCATGTATTGTCATCCTCGCTAGCACTCTCTGAATCAGACTCATACTTGTTCTAGAAAGGAGGGAACATATTAAACTCAGAGAGGTGAATTCACTTGCCCAAGATCACACAGCTCATCCCTGACCCGATTAGGAAATGAAGTCTAATCTGTTGATTTCATTGTCCATGCTTGTTTTCACTACATGAGGTTGTCCCAACACAGTCCAAACTAATGTTTCACCACTGGAAAGAGAGTCTCCCATCTGGAAACAAATATGAAGGGCCAGCTATGCAACAAGCATTGTTTTAGGCATTTAAGATATGTAAGTGAGCAAAATAGACAACTGCCCCTCTCATGGAACTCCCACTCACCTAGGGGGAAGATAGGAAAGAAACCACACACATAATGAATGGGTAAACAGTGTGGTAAGTTACACCAGGGTAACAGGCCATTTTTCTTTCTTTCCATCCCATGGGGAGCTGGAAGCAAGCAGTTTTGCCCTCTGGGGGACAATTGGCAATGCCTGGAGGCATCTGGTGGGTAGAGGCAAGGGTTGCTACTGCACATCCCACAATGCATGAGATAGCCCACCACCACCACAAAGAATGATCCAGCATCAAATGTGGGTAATGTTGAAGTAAGATCCCCCCCGAGCTGTAGGAACATGAAAAAGTGGGGCAGAACTGCGGGGTCAGGAGTAGGAGGGAGGCAAGGGTTGAGCCTCTGAGTCAGAGTGGGAATCCTCCTTCAGCCCCCTCAAAAGGCAATGGAATTCATGTGGGGTTCCTGTTCACCTTTCTCCCCGCTCCCCACCCGTACCAGGGTGTCTCTAAATCAAAGCAAAACGTGGAGCATCCTTTCTCACAGTGCTTAGAAAGTTGGTTACTTTCTTAAACTGGTCCTGGCTTTCTTCTTTCATGAGAAAAAAGTATCCCCTCTTCCCCCTGGGAATTTCTTTTTACAGTTCAAAAAGAGATAAAAGCAAGAACTAAAACTGCAGTTAGCAGTTTGAGTCTTGTGGGGAGTAAATCCCAAATGTCCAGCCCAGACACAAAGGCCCCCTCCACCTTCACCCTGGCGCCTCCCAGCCCAGCAGGTGCCTAGGATTTCACTGCTGTTGGAATCATGACACCCCTACCTGGGTCTGGGGTGAGAACCAAGAGATGGGCCTTGTGGCAAAATGTTAGCCTCTCCAGGGCTCTGAGAAGCAGGTCCCCAGGGGCCAGCAGCATGCTGTCCACCTGGGGTGGCCATTTGGCCTTCGAGGGCTTCCCACCCCACAAGTCACTGTCTTTTTATGTGTTTTAATAATTTATCTGGCCCATTTCTTGGGCTGTGTACTTACAGTGACACATCTTTTTCTTTGAAGATTTCCCATCCTTTGGGGGAGGAGAATGGGAAAGGAAGGCAAGGAAGAGATAAGAGAGAGAGATTATAACAGAAACGGGTTTCATGGGGCTTGAGATTTAACAAGGCTGGTTTAGGTGAAATCTGTCAGACATAGAGCTGGAAGATTTAAAAAAAAAAAAAAAAAAAAAAAAAAAAAAAAAAAAAAAAAAAACTACATCACCCGAGTTGGCTGCCCCAATCAATGCCTGTCCCCCAAGTTAAGCCATCTGATCTGGCCCCCTTCAAATGCCACTTCCTAAAGGAAGCCCTCCTTGACCTTCCAATCTGGAGGACTCTTCTCTGCTCTGATTAGCCAAGGCTTCCCTGACCCCCTCCCATCTCCACTTATTTTTTATGGATGAGACTAAGTTTCACTCCTGGAGCCAGGAATCCTTGAGGCCAGGGTTCCTGCCTGACTTACATCTCTGAATGCAATGCCAAACACAGCATTGCCTATAGCAGGTGCCATCACACCTGCTGTGGAAGGAGACAAACTCGGTCTGCCCAGCCTCGGCCAGGAGCGTGCTGTGGTCACTAAGGAGGGAGTACTGCCAAGAATGAGATCTGGGATAGAAGAAGGAGAAAGTCAGTCCCCAAGTCTCCACTGGTTCCTCCTGGATCCCTGGAGTAGCTTTATTTTCTAGTTCCCCGGTGAGTTTTGGCATTGCTAAGGGGCCTGGAAGCCTGGCGTGGGTGAGGAGGGGAAAGTTAGACTACTCTACATGAGAAAATATCAGGCATTCTGGAGGGAAGGGAAGAGAAAGGTCTCAAAAGAAACAAAGAGCACAAGAATAGAGCGATAGTGAGGGCCTAAGACGGCACAGCCAGCAAGGTGGGGAGTGGCCAATTTGCTTTCGGGACAGTGAGCTCTAGCAGGTGATTGGCTGAGCTCTTTCCTTGCTTTGCTACTCCAAGCCCTCAGCAAAATCCTAGCCACTTCCCAGGTTCGTGGCACAGGACAAAATGAAGGAATCAGAAAGATGACCCCCCACAGGTAATTAACGGGGCCATGGGCAATCTTCAGAGTGGAGACGTCCTGCAGGAGAAAAGATGGGAGCCAGAGGCAGGCAGGAGGCATCATGCCTTAGAGATGACATGGAGGAGGTTGGGCTTCCCCAGGAACAAGGGCTGGTGTCTCCAAGCCACTCCGTTTGGGTACCAAAGGCAAGAGGGAAAAGCACGTGCAAAGACCCTGAAGTGGGGACCGCCATGGATGTTTTGGAAACAGCAAAGACGTCCCTGGATTTGCAGCAGAGAGAGCATGCTTTGGAAGTAAAGGGGAGAAAGTGAGGTTGGAGGTGACCAGGCCAAAAGGCAGCTGCTTGCCTACAGTCTGGATATTGCTTGAATTGAACTGGATTTTTGTGCCACCAGCTCCTTCCAGGTTCTAGGTGTTTTAGCAAGTTTAGAACACAGGCTTCCCAGGTGAGCCTGGAGGAGAGAGAAAGCCAGCCCAACCTCACCATCTCCTTGGCAGGGACCCTGCTCTTCTCCCAGTCCTGCCTCTCTGCTCTTCTTCACACTGGGCAGAGAAGCTATATTACTTTGTTCTCATGCTGTTGTAACAACATACCCATGACTGAGCAATTGATAAAGGAAAGAGATTTAATTGACTCATAGTTCTGAATGGCTGAGGAGGCCTCAGGAAACTTACAATCATGGCAGAAGGTCTATGTCCGTCTTCACATGGCAGCAGGA